AGATGGCCATGCCCTGTCAAGAGTCACCTCACTGGACTCCAATATGTGTTTTCTGCCATGACCTTACCTGGGTGTGTCCTGCTCCCAGTCCCCATCTATGGTCTCAGAGTCGTGGAGGCTGGGGTTTATGTGACCCATTAGGGGAGAAGTCAGGCTTGTATTCAGGCAGGAATTCCAACAGCCAGCAAGGCCCAGGCACCACAGGGTTCTGATGAAATTGTGGGAAGAGTCAGAGGTAGGTGTCCAGAGGGCCCGGCCACTTGGGTGCCACTGCTGATTCATTGACACTTGTAAGATCAAGGGGGCTGGGTGGAGAAGACCCGAAGGTGTATGCCAGCCTGTCACTGGAGTCACTGAAGGTGCTGGGGGAGGGGAGGGCGGGGTCAGGCTTACTTCCTGGAGGCTCTGCACATAAACTGAACTCAACTTCATGGTGGGAGTAAAATGTACCATGTTCAGAGCTGTGGCCTTAGTTTCTTCATCTGTAAAGTGAATTGGTTGATATTCAGTCATTCCAAGAGGCAATGTATGATCAAGAATCAGTGCTGTTGAGGGCAAGCTGCTCAGAAGGCATTGGCCAAAAACATGGCTCCAAGAATGGATGGAATATCATCTGAATCGTTTCAACAAATAGATGCAACCCTGGAGGTGCTCACTTGTGTATTCCAAAAAAATTTGGAAGACAGGCTACCTGGCCAATTGATTGGAAGAGATCCATAATTGTGCCCATTCCAAAGAAAGATAACCTAGTAGAATGTGGAAATCATTGAGCACTGTTAGTATCACATGCTGGTAAACTCTGCTGAAGATAATACAGCGTGGCATTGTGGGCTAATGCACTGGACTGCAAGGTCAGTTTGAACACCAAGGTTGATGGTTCAAGTTCACCAGCCACTCCTCGGAAACCCTATACAGAGTTGTTGAGTCAGAGCTGACTTGATGGTACTTAACAACAACAACAACAATACAAAACCCGTTGCAGTAGTGCATTGACAAAGAGCTCTCAAAAATTCAAGTTGGATTCAGAAGAGTATGTGGAATGAGGTAGATCATTGCTGATGTTGGCTGGAGCTTGGCTAAAAGCAGAGAATACCAGAAAGAGATTTATTTGTGCTTTATTGACTATGCAAAGGCATTCAACTGTGTAGATCATAACAAACTATAGATAACATTGCCAAAAATGGGAATTCCAGAACACTTAATTGTGCTCATGAGGAACCTGTTCACAGACCAAGAAGCAGTCATTTGAACAGAACAAGGGAATATACTGAGTGGTTTAAAATCAGAAAAGGTATGCATTAGCACTGAATCCTTTCATCATACTTTGTCTGCGTGCTGAGCAAATAATCTGAGAATCTGGATTATGTGAAGAAGAACGTGGCATCAAGCTTGGAGGAAGACTCATTAACAACCTGTAATAAGGAGTTCTGGTAGCGTAGTAGTTACGAATCGGGCTGCGAACCTTAAGGTCAGCAGTTCGAAACTACCAGCCGCTCCGCGGGAGAAAGATGAGGCTTTCTACTCCTGTAAAAATTTACACCCTCGGAAACCCTGTACAGGGTCGCTATGGGTCGGAACCGACTCGACGGCACTTAACAACAACAACAACAACAATATGCAGAAGACACACTTTGTTTGATGGAAGTGAAGAGGATGTAAAATGCTTACTGATGAAGATCAAAGACCATAGCCTCCAGGATGGACTGCACCTCAATGTAAAGAAAAGAAATTCCTCACAACTGGACCAATAAATAGTGTCATTATAAAAAACAACAACACAGAAACCATTGAAATTGTCGAGGATTTCGTTTTACTTGGATCCATAAATAATGTCCATGAAAGCAACAGTCAAGAAATCAAACAATATATTGCGTTAGGTAAACATACTACAAAAGATCTCTTTAAAGTGTTAAAAAGCAAAGATGTCGCTTTGAGGACTAAGTCAGACAATGAATAAGGAAGACCCGAGAAGGCAGAACAAACGCATTTGAATAACAGTGTTGGCTAATAATATCGAGAGTATCGTATCATCGTGGACTGCCAGAAAAACAAACAAATTAGCTTCAGAAGTCCTGGTGATCACAAGGTCAGTTTGAACCACAAAGTTTGCAGTTCAAACTCACCAGCCACTCCTTGAAAACCCTATAAGTGTCGACTATGAGTTGGAACCTACTTCACTGTACTTAAACAAAACAAAACAACCGGATTGCTCCTTAGAAGTGAAGATGATATAACTTTGTTTCTCATACTTTGAACACATTATCAAGAGGGACCAGTCCCTGGAGAAGGACATCATGCTTGGTAAACTGGCGGGTCAGGGAAAAAGAGGAAGACTCCCAATGAGATGGACTGACACAGTGGTGTAACAATTGTGAGGTTGGTGCAGGACTGGGCAGTGTTTTGTTCCGTTGTACATAGGGTTGCTGAGTCAGAACAGAGCCCAACATGAAGATACTGATAGTGCTCCCCCTACTGGCTGGGAGAGGATGGGAGGCCTCTGAGTAAGGAAACCAGCTCTGCTCCTACTTTCTAATTCAAATGAGTTTAATTGTTAAAGGGTGTTCCTTAAGCCAACAAAGAACTCAGTCTGGGTGGCCCCTGACTGATTTTCCCATCGAGTGACCCAGTGGTCCTCCCTTGCAAGTTTTTCTACTTACGCTTACTCATTCTTGTGTTTCTTAAAATTGCTGTTGTTAGGTGCTGTTGAGTTGGTACCGACTCATAGCAACCCTGCACCAACCTCACAATCATTGCCATGCTTGAGTCCATTGCTGCTGCCACTGTGCCAATCCATCTCGTTTAGGGTGAGGTGGTCTTCCTCTTTTGTGCAGACTTTCCACTCAACCAAGTACGATGTCCTCCTCCAGGAGCTGGTCCCTCCTGATAATATATCTGAAGTATAAGAGAAGAAGTCTGGCCAGCCCGACTTCCAGGGAGCAGTCTGACTGTACTTCTTCCAATACAGATTGGTTTGTTCTTCTGGCAGTCCATGGCCCCTTTAATATTCTCCTCCAACGCCATAACTCAAATGCATCAATTCTTCTACGATCTTCCTTATTCACTGTCCAACTTTTGCATGTATATGAGGTTATTGAAAATACCAAAGCTTGGGTCAGGCACACCTTAGTCCTCAAACTGACATCTTTGCTCTTCAACACTTTAAAGACGTCTTGTGCAGCAGATTTGCCTAATGCAATACAGCGTTGATTTCTTGATTGCTGCTTCCATGAGTGTTGGTGGTTGATCCAAGCAAAATGAAGTCTTTAACAACTTCAATCTTTTCTCTATTTATATGGATTTTTTTTTATTTGTCCAGTGGTGAGGAGTTTTCTTTTTTTTATATACCGAAGGCTGTGGTCTTTGATCTTCATCAGTAAGTATTCTATGTCTTTGCTTTCAGAAAGCAAAGTATCTGTGGCCCCAATGTTATTGAGTCTTATTTTACATGCAGTGAGGAGCCCTGGTGGCACTGTAGGATAACACTGTGGTCAGCAGTTCAAATCCACCAACCACTTTGAGGGAGAAAGATGAGACTTTCTGCTTATGCAAAGATTTATAGACCCAGAAGCCCTATATGAAACCAACTCGATGGCACTCACCAACAAATGAATCAGAACCTTCTCTACTCGATGGCAGTAGAGAAGTGTGTGGTTTATTTTTTAAATAACCATTTAAGAGTATTTATTAGAATAGTATTTAAGAGTATTTATAGAATACAAATCTCCTGTTTTCAGAATTTCTCTTTCTATAAAAATTGATTAATTTTAGCCACCATAAATTAGATCCTAGCAATTCATAGTTATAGTTTGCATTAAGCTTTTTATTGTGATTTGGGTAAAAGTTTATAGAGCAGATTAATCTTCCATTCAACAAATCATCCACCTTTTGTTCTGTGACCTTGATTGGAATCCCCACAATCTAACAGCATTCTTCCCACTTCCTTCCTGAGTTTCCAGTTTCCATTCATCCTTCTTTCCTGTCCCTTCCTGCTTTCTGAGGATTCTCCATGGGCAAAGGCTGCCCTTTTGATCTTCGATGGCTGACTGTTCTAAAGGGAGTGCCTCCCTGGTACTACTGTTCACATTATAGACCTGCCCAATGTTTGAAACTTGAACCACTGGGGTGAGTTAATTTCCAGGCATGCAGGTGACGGAAAGCCATGATCTTGGGGGTTTCAACAATCTCTATCAGCCTTGGTCTTTTAAAAATGATTTTGAGTTTTGTTTCACATTTTTCTTTCTTTTTATTCATGGCTTTTCATTGCGATCCCAATCGGAGCAGTCGGCCGTGGCAGCCGGGCACCCTCTAGTTCTTCTGGTCTCCGAGTTGTGGGTTTATGTGACCCATTCGTTTTCTGCACTAATCGTTTCCTTGAGTCTTTGAATTTTTTTCACTCTTCTTTGGTCCAGAAGAAATGTGTGATTTAAAGAAAGCTTTCCTGGGACCTTCTGAGAAAGCCAAACTCTTTTGTGAATGGCTTTGAAATCTCCCAGGGAAGTCTTTCTATAAGACCAGATTTTTATACCCTTAACCAGGTTTGCAAAGGAGCTCTGGTAGTGTAGTGGTTACGAATCAGGCTGTGAACCTTAAGGTCAGCGGTTCGAAACTACCAGCCACTCCGCGGGAGAAAGATGAGGCTTTCTACTCCAGTAAAGATTTACACCCTCGGAAACCCTGTACAGGGTCGCTATGGGTCGGACCTGACTCGATGGCACTTAACAACAACAATCAGGTTTGCAGAGGGAACCCCTGTGTTGAACAAAGGAGATGGGGTGACAAACGGAGTACGCCCAGGGTCTGGGGAAGCCCAGAGGGGCTTACAGGCAAGGCTAACCCACTTTGTTCTATTTCTGTGACAGCAGCTGCCTGTGGACTTTCTATCCATCTGTCTGTCTGCCCTGTCAGTCCATCAGCAATCCTGTGCACAACGTTTCTGCCTGTCACTTCTGGGTGCCACTCTGTCTGTCTGTCTGTCCACCTGACTGTCTGTTCTCCTTCAGGACGCCTTTCGTGCCTTCCACTCCAACCTGGATTTCGTGCGCAAGTTCCTGCAGCCTCTGCTGATTGGGGAGCTGGCCGTGGACGAACCCAGCCAGGATGGACCCCAGAATGTGAGCAGGGTTCTGATGGAGGTCAGGCCCCAGGGGAGGCGGGGAGGGCGGGCACCACCAGGAACTCTCCACCTGGATTTTCTGGCGTAGGTGGTCCTATAGGACCCTCCACAGTACCATATCTGGCTTGGCTGAACACTTTCAGGGCCCTGCTCTGGGCCCAACGTCCCCTCCACATTGAGAATTTTGAAGAGCTGGTCTCTGAGTATTTTCCCTACTCTGGATTCTCAGCTTCTCCCACACCCCACAGATTTAGGGGCTCCTCCACACCCATGCTCTCTTACGCCCCTTGGGGAGCAGCAGGGGACTCTCGGAACAGCATCCCTGGCTGACCAGCCCTCTACCTAGGCACAGCTGGTGGAGGATTTCCGAGCCCTGCGCCAGACAGCTGAGGACATGAAGCTGTTCGAAGCTGACCCTGCCTTCTTCGCGTTCCTGCTGGGCCACATCCTCACCATGGAGACGTTCGCCTGGCTCCTCATCTACCTCCTGGGCCCCGGCTGGGTGCCCAGCACTCTCGCTGCCCTCATCCTGGCCCTCTCCCAGGTGACCCCGGTCCCCATTGATGGATGGGTGAATGAAGGGATGACGAGTGAACAACCAAAGGGCCCCGTGAATGAATGGGTGAAGAGACAAACAGCCCGGGGCCCAGCAGTCACATGTGGGGGTCAGGCCGTGTTGTAAGTGAGCTCAAGGAAGCTCCGTATTTAACAGGCCTGAGTCAGGTACCATGGTGGGTGTGTAGCCCCTCAGGCCCCCACCCCCATCCTGACCCTGCCTCCCTCCCCAGGCTCAGAGCTGGTGTCTGCAGCATGACCTGGGTCATACCTCAGTCTTCCACAAGTCCCATTGGAACCACCTGGCCCAGCAGTTTGTGATGGGGCAGCTGAAAGTGAGCGTGGGGAAGGGGGGCGGCCTGGGCATACGCATGGTTAGCCCACGTGTGTGGGCGTGGCTCCCACCCTGAGAGCCCCCTCCCCTCCCACAGGGTTTCTCTGCCCACTGGTGGAACTTCCGTCACTTCCAGCACCATGCCAAGCCCAACGTCTTCCACAAAGACCCAGATGTGACTGTGGCCCCCGTCTTCCTCCTGGGAGAGTTGTCTGCGGAGGTGCATAGGGGTAGGACACTTGGGCCAGGCCTGCAGTTGAGGGGGACCTCAGCCACTGAGTTCCCAGCTCTGGCCCAGCCCCAGTGCTCCCTGACCCTGACATCTGCTGGGGAAGATGGGTCCATTTGCTCGATTCTGGAATTGCCTTGAAAGTGCTCGGTTGTTGGTTTGAGGGAGAAAGATGTGGCAACCGGCTGTCCTAAAGTTTGCAGCCTGGGAACCCCTGCAGAGCAGTTCTGCTTTATCCTGTGGGCTCACTATGAGTTGGAATTGGCTCTATGGCAGTGGTTTTAGAGTTGCCTTCTGACCCTGGACCCTGACCCTGCCTGCCTGCCACCTGTCTCCACAGTACGGCAAGAAGAAGCGTAGATATCTGCCTTACAGCCACCAACACCTCTACTTCTTCCTGAGTGAGTGGTCACACGTCCTGCCGGTCCTGCCCACCTGGACAGCCACTTTCAGCAGACATCCCTCATCATGCCCCCCCCCACCCCCCGCCCTGCCCAGAATCCCTTCCTGCTTACATCACGGGGGCCAGAGCCTTAGAGAATTTGGCTAACGTGATGCCGCTGACGTGATACCGCTGACCTACCAAAGAGGGACCAGGGGAGGTGGTAGGGCGAGGACGTCAGGGGAGGCCTCAAACGCTGAGGGAATGAATGCAGACCAGGCCTTATGAGTGATTCAGGGTCAGCCCAGCTGGACGGGACCACCACTTAAGCCCTTGGAGTGACAGAGTCCCATTGCCTGACACCCACCCCCACTACGCTGAGTGCCCGCCCTGCTCCTGAGCTCTCTTGGGTCCCTTCCTCAGTTGGTCCGCCGCTACTCACCCTGGTGAACTTCGAAGTGGAAAACCTGGCGTACATGCTGGTGTGCCTGCGGTGGACGGTAGGTGGGTCTCCCAGGTGCAGGGTATGTGTGTGCAGGGATGAGTGAGTATACACGTGTGATGATATAGTATGTATCTGTGTGTGTGTGTAGTGATATTGAGTACACGTGTGATGATGTAGTATGTATCTGTGTGTGTGTAGTGATATTGAGTACACGTGTGATGATGTAGTATGTGTCTGTGTGTGTGCTGGGATGAGTGAGTACGTGTGTGATGATGTAGTATGTATCTCTGTGTGTGATGATGTAGTATGTATCTCTGTGTGTGTAGGGATGAGTGAGTACACATGTGTGATGATGTAGTATGTATCTGTGTGTGTGCGGGGATCACTGAGTACACATGTGATGATATAGTATGTATCTCTGTGTGCAGGGATTACTGAGTAAACATGTGTGATGATGTAGTATGTATCTGTGTGTGCAGGCATGAGTGAATACGTGTGTGATGATGTAGTATTACTGTGTGTATACAGGGATTACTGAGTATACATGTGATGATGTAATATGTATCTGTGTGTGTGCAGGGATGAGTGAGTACACATGTGATGATATAGTATGTATCTCTCTGTGTGTGTAGTAATGATTGAGTACATACATGTGTGATGATGTAGTATGTACTGGGTGTATACAGGGATGAGTGAGTACACATGTGTGATGATGTAGTATCTGTGTGTGTAGTGATGATTGAGTACATGTGTGATGATATAGTAGTATGTATCTGTGTATACAGGGATGAGTGAGTACGTGTGTGATGATGTAGTATGTATCTCTGTGTGTGTAGTGATGATTGAGTACATACATGTGTGATGATATAGTAGTATGTATCTGTATATACAGGAATGAGTGAGTACACATGTGTGATGATATAGTATGTATCTGTGTATACAGGGATGAGTGAGTACACATGTATGATGATGTAGTATGTATCTCTGTGTGTGTAGGGATGAGTGAGT